GATATATCTGGCAAATAAGTACTGTTGTGTAATCTTTAATTTAATTTTTGAACAAGTGCTTTTCTTGCTTCACCTTTTGGACAAATATTTTTATGAGGTTCTAGATCAAATCAAGTTATTTTATTAAGTCTCTGTTTCAGTTAGAAAACAAGTTTTGTTACATAGCCTTGCTTATTACAGCTTCTTAACTATATTTTTTCTTGTAGAGTGTAGACTGTGTAAAGACTCTCATTAATGATGACACTATTCCAAACATGTTCTTTTAGAAGTGTCTGATGCTCACTTTATTTAATATTCAAAATAACGAAATAGTTATTTCCTGAACACTGAATAATTTCCAATCAAAATTTATGTTTTGCAAGTCATTCCAGAAGTATGTCACAGTCCCTGGCCAAGATCAGAACTGATACATTTTTTAAAATGTGTAATAGAAAATTAACTGTGAGCAAGACATTTCACGTAAAATGTCAAAGTGAAACAAGAATTTGACAATTTTGTAAAAATCTGAATGTGAGTGATGTCTTGTGAAACTTGATTATGTATTATCAAAATAAAAAATACTGAACATTTAACTTATAGGCATTTTTGCACAGAATTATATAATAATGACAGTATGTCAAAATGACATTCACTTTCTTTTATTTTATTATTGTTTAAGGTATAATGGAAAAAATAAAAAAAATATCTAACTGCATCTTCAAATTTTTGAAAATACTTTAAAATGATTAATGAACAAATACTGTATAAAAATATACTACTTTTAGATTGTTAAACAGAGTTTTGCTCACTGTTTGACTTGCTTAGAAATGATGACTCGTTTGTTTAATTGAAGCCTTGAAAAGATATTTTGTAGTTACTTTTATCAGAATATAGAGCCCATTTGTCAATTATGAGGAAATAATAATGTTACAGCTATTATAATTTATCTTATTATTTATTTATGCCCCATTTTTTTACTATATCTTAAAGTCTTGGTGTTGATGATTTCTAAACCAGGATTTTTTTAAATATCTAAGAATTTCTAAAACTTAAAGTCACAAACCTTTTTACTTAGATGTTCTTTTACCCAAAGTAATTCATGCTTTTTTATTAGTGCTGATTTCATTTTGTCTTAAATGTTAGATTCGAACTAGTTAACTCTTCCTTCTTTTTTCATTGTTGGGCTTTATTTTATATTTTCCTTAGCTTGGCAGTACTTTCAAGAAACAACTCAGATGTAGAAACAATATTATGGTTATGGTCCTATTCTTCAGGTTTTCGATGGCTTTACACTCAATTATCTGTAGACAGTGCTTCACTGAAAAAGGTACATTAAAGAATAAGTAATTCTGTATCATTACTAGGTTATGGGATCAAAACCAAACTGACCTTGTTTTAAGTAACATGCAACATGTTGTTCATATTGTTTCAAGAGTGTCATTAAGATCCATACTAATTATTGCCTGACCAACACAAAGGTTGTTTTTGTGAGTAACATCTATGTACATTAAAATTGATTGATTCAAAGCATAGGAAACTGACTATGTTTTAGTAGTATTAAAACCATTTAGTAATCCCTATGAACTTTTAAAAAGTGCAAGCAGAAAGGACAAGTCAGGATTCAGTTATAGAAAGTAATCTATTTTCTTTTCTATCCATAGTTCTTTTGGACATGGAAACCAATTTTTGTGGTATCACTCTTTCTTATCTTATGAAATCATAAAAATGTAGCAAATTATGTTTGTATATGTCTATCTTTACTCCGCCATTCATGATATTTGATGGCTCCTTGTAGTCAAAATATGATTTTTTGTGATTAGATTTATTGTTCTTTGTATAAACTGAATTGTACCAAATGTTCATTATACAGAGAGTTCAGTAAGTTATATTAATACGATTTTGAATAAACAAGTCAAGAAGTCATGTGACAACCATGTCTCAGTGGGACAGAATGCATCAGAACTATATTTGACATTTTTTGGCATTTCATAGTTTATGTGATGTTACCAAAAATTTATTACTTTGGGGAGGTTATATAACAGCCTTATATTCATACACTCAGATCATAAAGATATTTCTAGATTGGGGATATACTGTTCACTTAACCCGATGACTACTGGCTACTAAGTTTCTTAGTAGGCAATGCAAGTCTTGCTATATTTCATTCCAACAATAAAACTAGTGGACGAATATTTTTGAAAATTCATAAATACTTTGACAAATGTAGGTAGTTTAAGAAACATAAAGCCTATTACTTTTAATAAATTAAGGTTTTTTGCATTATGATCTTTAATATCTTGGAAAATTACATTAGGAAATCGTATTTATAAGAAATGATTATAATATTAATATTTGCTACAGATTTGAACTTATTACTTTTAATGTTTTAGTACATTATTTTGAAATCCCCAAAAAACTGTATCCACCATAAAATGCAAATTTTATCTATTTTTAATTATTTTGATAATCATGTATACTTCTT